AAGTATTCATGTCTATGTAATTCTTGAAATGGGTATGTGTCTCCTTGATTTCTACATTAGACCACTGTTTCTTAATCACAGTTCCTCAATCACAAGAAACAGTAGAAACACACACAATCAGTAAATTTAAGACGCACGAAGTTCCTCGCAGGAGGAATGATTCAACCAAACTGAGAATATTATTATCTCTGTTCTTGATTTTCCAGGAAAGTTACGAAAACAATAGTATTCGCTGTAAGACTTATCGATATCACTTGTTACGAGGACTCCAATTTTTAATGTAAGGGTACGAGGACAAAAAAAGGACCTCGCATGAATAACTAATACACAGAGTCGTATTAGTAATAGTAAGTCAAGGAATGTCTAGAAAACACCAAGACCTAACTATACTGGGTAAATGAAAAATATTGATATTATTATAATTCACAAAGTAGCACAACAATAGTGACTTTTAGAGGGATCACATTTTTTCTCGCCAGTAATTAGATCATCAAGGAGTTCTGAAATGTTGACAATTGAAGATGCATGAATTGGCAAGAAACATTGCAATCAATAAGAGTATATTCCCGTCATTTCAGCCAGTGTGCCTTTCGGTTTTCAATGAATATGAAATAGTTATTTGTTATACAAGGCAGGAAAGTAGAGCAGATTGACTGCCGCGACTGATAGTTCATAGCCGTGCGTAGCGAAGCTAGGAATTCAGCCAAGGCAGTCAATCTACATTTACTGCCGTGTGAAACATATAATATTTTCTCCGAATGTTATGACACCAATTTTGTGTTATTATTTATTGATAACTCCATCATTTTGTGTTCACCCAATGTCAGTGTCGATTTTGATTACCAATTTCATTCACATTTCTTGGAAAGTTGCATAGCAACAAACTTTTCCTGTCTGGGCAGAGAAAGTACACCTTTCCTGCCTGTCAAGTGTCAGGAAAAAAGCCACTTTCCCTGCCGCTTGGAGAAAATAAAATAAATGTCGAGTGGTATAAGATTCGAGAAGGGTTATCATGTAGAGAATCCGAAATATCAGTGATGTTTTGATCTATACATAGTGAATCACGAGTACGAGATGGACTCTGACGGGGAAACGGGAACATGTCATATTCCCGTTTTTGTCATCGTAATGAAATTTCATCATTCCAGTTTCGTGAAGGGCTCTGGAAATTACGTATTGAGAATATTCACCAATATACAGGGTGCTCTGCAAGGGTGTGGCATACCAAAGTTGCGATTTGTCTCATGGAACACTATGTATTTTACTCCTTTTCAGTTTGTTTCTGGAGAAGCTCGATCTATCACACACTTGGAGTCTTGCGGGAATGATGAAAAATAGGTTTTTCAACTTTAGAGAAATTTTTGGTGTTAAAACTATTCATTATTGGTCGAAATGGCTTGTATCTTCCTATCTTCACTTTTGATTTACTACATAATAACATTTAATCAAAACAAATACAGGGTGTTGAAAGGGAATATTCTCATCAGATTTATTATGAACATAAAAAAATTGAAAATGGTAGGTACATATCAAGAAGAATTTAAATTCGCATTATCTATCTGATAAAAATATAAATTCTTTCTCGGTATACTCAACAGATAATAACTACTTTCCAGGCTATATGCCACGATGAACATTGAATTATATCTACTGAACACAAACGAATTCTCAGTATATTTCTTAATATTTTCTTCATGTTCCTAATATGTCTGAGAATATTCCTTTCCAATACTTCCATACCCAATCAAGGGGTTCAAACTTGAACGATGGAAATTTGTTTTGACATACCTCTAATCACAGAAACGTTATTGGGTTTTCTCAATTCTGAATTTCTTTCCACGACCTGTACGATGAATACCAATTCATCATACACTATAAACAAATACGGGGTGGTTCACGAATCTAAAATGTAAACCACCCTGCATTTGTTTGGTGGTTCAGGAATCTAAATTGCAAACCATCCTGCATTTGTATGGTAGTTCAGAAATCTAAATTATGAATCACTCTATATTTGCTTCAGTTAAATGTCAGTAGACAGTGAATAAAAAGTCAAGATGTGTGTCATATAAGCCGTTATGATCAATAATGAATAGTTTCGAGACAAAAAATTCCTAAACAATAAAAATATATATTTTTCACACCCCTATATCTCCGTCATCATGCCCGCTAAACCGCGAGTGTGCTATGTTGTGATAGATCGATGAAATCAACTCTTCAAGTAGAACCTCGAAATACAATAAAATACAGGATGTTCCGTGAAAAATCGAAACTTTGGTATGCCGAATATTTTCGAAACGTATATAGAATTCAGAGCCCGCTACGAAACTGATGGTGTACTGAAATTTCATAATATGTTCCCATTTAGTCAGAGTCCGCCATGTTGCTCGTGACTAACCCTGTATATAAAAATATTTCAAACACTGTAGCGTTGTCGCTTCTACTAGGAAGTAGTTGCCACTCAGAAATTTTAAATTGAACACGTTGTATATTTTATCATTTTGAGAAACTCTATCACTTTGTTGTGAACTTCACCAGATATTTTCCTAATAGTTTGGCCGGTAATGACAGATTTTGTTCAACGTTTTTTCAATGTATGCATCTTCCAATACCTACCTCCTTTTCCTATTCTCCCTAGGAACGCACGATGTTCTTTGAACATTATAGGGATTTCCTTTCGTGCGCTCCAAGCGATGAAAAAATGTACTAGACAGGTATCTGAGTGTGCTCGCATGCAGCGTCATTACCACTCAAATTCGAATTGGCATTGGATTTTGATGATTCTGAACGATTATTCAATGCTTGCAAATTGGTCTTCGTTGAAATTTGAAAAAAATATCCCGCAGAAAAATAATTGCATACGCTGCCTTCGTGTAAGAAGTCCTGAAATTATTGAGTGAACATGTAACAAAGAAGGGGTATTGTTGAACTATTATTTAACGTATGCTTTTTCACAGACCTATTTTTAGTGTAACTTGTATCACGATAAACTACTTTGCATACAATCGTGGCGTGCACATGCGCTGTGAAAATTTTTTGCACATGCACTTTTTGTATTCACTAGGAAAAATCATTCAATGTATGCACACCACATAATTCAATTGCATTGAGTGAAAAAGCATACGTTGAATAATTGTTCCGGAATACCCCCTCTTTTTCACATGTTCACTTAATAATTTCAGGACTTGCTACACGAAGGCAGCTTATGCAAATGTTTTCTGCAAGATATTTCGTGTGTGTGACAGAAATAGAAGTTTCTATGTTGCGCCGTCACACCCATTGATCATATGGAAACTCCGAACTCAAATATATCTTCGTGGTCATTTGAAATAACCCAATCAAACCTGGTATCGTAGAATCCGTTATAATAATCTCTAACCAATTATGAAATGAAATATAGGGTGTTTCGTTTGTGAATCGAAAGTTGAAGTCATTTCCTGGAAAACGAGAAGGTGAGAAGGTGAGAAAATGTGTAAAAGTGTCCTCTAGAGAGCATATGCGATGTTCCGAATTCCAGAAATATAGCTAGAAAAACGAATGAGAAAATGGGAGTATACCATGTGTCTGTGTCACCCGGTATATCTGAACGTTTACCTTCGGTTCATGAGTAAGAAAACTAATGAGTCCTCCGTTTGGACATTCCGTAATAAATAGATGAAATTATTTATTAGACATCACATCATATTCCATCTTGATACTATAAGTTATGTGGTAGGAAAACTGAGCATTACCTCTTGAAATATATAGACAATAACAAATTAATACTTCGAGCTACCTAGTACAAAACCACAAATTATAAAACGATTCGTATTACTGAAAACAACAGTCGGGATATTATGTATTTTACCGGATTCAGTGCCCTCGCTAGGAGTGTTGTGTATAGTTTCCGTCAGCCTCATTCAAATTTTGAATGGGAGCATTCCATTGGTGTTCATTATACACACAGTGTGTATCGATTGTCCTCGCATTAGGCCTAGATGGTGGATACTCTGTGTATATAGTTTTTTCGATGCGCTACCTATCGGTGTGTGACGGAACTGGGCGTCCGTTGAGGATCCGTCTTACGAGGACACATCAAATTTTCATGATATAGGTATAGAAATGATCGGAATAAGCCGAATAAGGCGATAGCAAGGACAGATATCTGCGAGGACATTTTGTCGGTCCTCGCATGCCAAAATGTCCTCGCTACCTAGTATTTGAACTTGCTATTGTCCTCGTAAACCCCGTCTTACAAACACATACATACATACACACATACATACATACATACATACATACATACATACATACATACATACATACATACATACATGCATACATGCTGCTTGAAGACACAATTGATACAATGCTAACGATTATTATTGGAAAGACTATCATTATATGGAAAATCAGTTGATATTTCAACAAGATGGTGCTCCTTCGCATTGTGCTATGCCTGATCGGCGATATTCAGATCAACACTTCCCTGGTCATTGGATTGGTAGGCGAGGTTCTATTGATGGCCTCCACGATCACCAGACCTGTCTCCTTCAGATCTCTTCCTGTGGGGTCACTCGAAAAGCAGAATTTATAGTACACCACCAGCTTCACTAGCAGATTTACGGCAACGAATCATGAAAGAATGTCGGCAAATCACCCCAGGCATGCTCCAAAATGTTTGAGAACGTTTTCAACAAAATCTGTATCATTGCATGAAAGTTGGATGTGCGCATTTCGAGCATTTGTTAGGATGAGAATAATGTAAGTGAATTTCGGTTGAAAAACTGACGACCGTTGTTTCGAGAATAATTTCAAACGATGTGCCACTCGACTGCCATTTCCTATTCAAATTTCAAGTTTTGTTCACTCCCCTGCTCGAGGGTTGACGTGACGGTGCTGCATGTATAAGAGGGCACAATGTCCCCCTCGAAACTAAAATCGACCTGCCCGAGCGTTTTTCCAGATCTACGATATTGTTACCCAAATCCTTCATGTCAAGTCTGCATCAATAAAAACCAAGTTTCATAAAAACGAATAGTATATTATATTACACTTCATGTTATCTACAAATACTCAGCTACGTATTAAATACACATAGTTGGTTGGTACCATGGTACATTATTATATAGGTATACGTACTGTTACAATATAAAAAAATCTGAAGTGGTTTTCATAATAAATATTTCTTTGTGTGTAGAATAAAATATCAATTCATTCCGATATGTATTGAATGCAGTAGGTAACAAGTTCAATAATTATTATTCAAAACATAATGATCCAGTTACATTAGGAACAGTCTTCGTGTCGAAAATGTATGAATTAATGAAAATTTCATGCGATGAGATCTTCTGGCGGACGTTCGGGAGTACATGGCCTGCGGAATTCTTGCCCCCTTTCGTGAATCCATTTATTTGACACTGAAAAAAAAAAGTGTACAGGGTGATTTATTCAGAATGTGCACTGTCTGAACTACTAGTAGTAGACACCAAAATATGGCGAGATTCAGCTCAACATGCCTCATAAAAATGTTCCTACTCCGAAATTGCTGAGGAATATTTCAACTGCAGATTCAAGTGAAAAAAGTGTTAACGTAATCTGCACGAATCCAAAAAATCTGAGTGTAGTGGATTTTCCTAACTCTTTGAATCTGTTTTGTACATAAATTCGCAGAAAGTATATTTGCCAATTGATCTTGGTGAGTGCCTGATAGGCAAAAAGACTCGGGTTCGAATCCCTACTGCACCTACTTTTCTTCTTTTGTCGCAAAGTTGTCCCTGGAATATCCTTGGGACGTCTCAGGGATATCCTTTGTCAAACATGGTGCATCTCAAGTACGTACTCGTGTTCTCAGGAATGATATTAACATTAGTGGAATATGGCTGATGATTCAATTGAAGAATTTTCAAATTAGATAGCTGTACAAAATGCACTATTCTCTCCGTTCATCCATATACAGTGTGTCCCACTTACCATGCTCACCATAGGTATCTTTTTAACGGTGAGAGATACGAGGTCCGTTAAATGACACCAAATGTGTAGTTTGTCAAGGCCAACTATAATGTGAAAAAATATTTTGATAAAATCTATTCGTCTTTGTTTTATATGCAAAAAACAGATTTTGATCATTTTCATGTCTCCTCCGTAACAACTTTATTTATGAAAATATTCAAATAGGGATTTCACATTCTCATGGCAGTTTTTTAAAGTGATTTAAAAAAAAATATGAAATTGATACCAACTCTTCTAGAATTTGAGATATCAGCACCAACTTTAGTTTTTCAAATATAGGTCATAGCTCACTATGACTTAATTACAAATAACTTTTTTTTCTCTCACAGATGATATGTCGCAGTTATAGTTTTGTGTTGATAACAACGGAGTTATGGTAATTTAGACAAAAAAAAATATTTGGAAGCCGCCATCTTGAATTTATAAATTTCAACAAAAAAATCATGTTCTCCGACCTCAAAAACCCCCACTTACCAATTTTGAATGGAATCGGACCAAATCTTGTTCGCCATCTTGGAGCAACCATTTTTTCAAATCAAATGTTGCAAGTGAATTTTGACTCACCTCTGGCCGTCCTATCAACTTGAAATTTGGCAGATGTTCGTAAATCCGGTGACAATACATTATGGAATTTTTGTTGAAATAAAAAAATGGCTGCTCCAAGATGGCGGACAAGATTTGGTCCGATTCCATTCAAAATTGGTTAGTGGGGGTTTTTGTGGTCGGAGATCATGATTTTTTTGTCGAAATTTATAAATTCAAGATGGCGGCTTCCAAATAATCTTAGGTTTTTATATAAATGACGATAACTCCGTTGTTATCAACACAAACTATTACTGCGACATATCATCTGTGAGAGAAAAAAGTTATTTGTAACTAAGTCATAGTGAGCTATGACCTACTTTTGAGAAACTAAAGTTGGTGCTGATATCTCAAATTCTAGAAGATTTGGTATAAATTTCATATTTGTTTTGAAATCACTTCGAAAAACTGCCATGAGAATGTGAAATTCTTATTTGAATATTTTCATAAATAAAGAAGTTACGGAGGAGACATGAAAATGATCAGAATCTGTTTTTTGCGTATAAAACAAAAACGAATAGATTTCATAAAAATATTTCTCCACATTATAGGTGGCCTTGACAAACTCCACATTTGGTGTCATTTAACCGACCTCGTATCTCTCACCGTTAAAAAGATACCCATGGTGAGCATGGTAAGTGGGACACACTGTATTTATTACTTATATAAGAGTTTTTGCAATGAAAATTTCATCACCAGTTATGATATTTCACTGTTTTCTCGACTAGCTCAAGAAACTACCATCATTCACTCTTTTTTCAGGGCGTGAAATGTGTTTGAACTTTCAAGGTAATTTTCGTCATATTATAAACCACTAGTGAATGAAGACATAGCCACATCTGATATAATTGACTCGAAATCAGTGTTCTTTTGCGAGATTTGCAGCAATAGCACTCGAATCTAGTAGGTATTCATTGATAACGACTTGTCATATTTTGTAATGTATGGTCATGGCTACTAAATTTCAGACGCGAATGAAAATAATTGCTTCCGTACATAGTGGTGAAAAACAAATATGAACCTCCTTTTTTTTATCGCTGAAGCCTTGGTATATGGTCTTGTTCCCTGTGTAGTAACACTGATATTTCATACTACCTTGGTGTATAAATAGCATTTACTCATATAGCACGAGACGCACTGTGTACGTACGATTTCAATATACGGGGTACGTCCAATTCTGGACTTTATCGATTCTTGGTAAACAAGATATATGATATAAATATTGAACTCATTGCAAAGAAAATATACTCTCGATCTCTGATATTCATCCAGTAGGAACCTTGTAAACATGAAAAAAATTACCTGATCACAAAAGATCTATGAGGTATTCTCTGGCCTGATCATTGAATTCTAAGAAAGTACCTATCAATGAGAAACCCCAATCGACGTTCGCAAAAACTCTTTTGTTTCATTCTGATATGTTAATTATAAGTGTTGCATAGAGTAAGGGATAGAGCATATGACAGGTTATCTAAAGATCACGGATTTGATTCCCGATAGGGGCACATTCAATTTTCATTCTTCATATAAAATAAGATTCTTTTTACTCTCCCATAGAATATTCTTAGAGAATATTTGAATAGTCTCAGAATATTCTCGCAACGTGGTTAAAATACTCTAGGGACGTTCTATAAACATTCGGGATAGACTGTTTCAAATATTCTGAAAATATTCCTAGTATATTGAACGGGAACGAAGAATATTAAAAAAGCTATCTCTGGTGGAGATGAAAACCAACCTTGTGATAGAATTTTAAGAAATCTGAAACCCTACCACTTCGCCTCAAACCTCATTGTTGAATAAAATGTAAAGCAAGATGAACACACTGTATTAGTGGGAAAATCAGCATTAAGCCTGGGGAATAATAGGTCGTGTGAGGGTAAGAAAAAAATAATATTGATGACAGAATAGTAACATATTGATCTTATTTTTTGATATAATTCCCAATATTCTCAGAATATTCCAGAAAAAAATCCCCAGAATATTCAAAGATTATATTCTGGGAATATGTCGAATAGAATGTTGATAAAAAAATATTTGCAGAATGAGAATATTTTATTATCAGTCCATAGGAATATTCTGAAATGGGTATATTTGTCAGCAAAGTCATAGAATATTCTGTGCTGTCTTGGCTGTCTTGATCTCTTTTCTATCAACTATCTGAGTGAAAAAAACACGCATATTAGTTGATTCAGGTATCTATGGTACTGAAATAGACGTACTGGGGATGTAAAAATGCGTGGAATATGGACCTATCCAATACGTACTTGGTACGTAAACGGTCTCTAATTTGGACGTCCCCAGTACGTACTCAACGTCTGAACCGGACGTTCTGCTCAGTATGATTCGAGGACGTTCTCGTGCTATGGGTACGCCACTGGTTTCAAAACTTTGGTCAGTTTTCAAAAATGTCAAATTAAACATGTCAAAATTTCAAAAAGATATTCTTCTCTGACTCAGATTTGTCGTTATGTCTTCTCTATACATATTTTTCATGTTTTTTCGTCCCTACTGAGGGCGAAGTTCCTTCGTTGAGAGTTTGATACAGTTGACACAAACAGAAAATTCTCACCCCATTTCGATCCTGCCAGAACTGGACAAGCCGCATGTCTGGTCAGCACGTCTCCATCTCCACTGGCATGGAGGTTATACCAGAATGCTGCCGCGCCTTTTTTGGGCCAAAGGGCAGCCCCTACTACTGGGAAAACCGTAGCACCCCCCTGCGATACGTCGCTCATCTGAAATCGAAAATAAATAATTTATTTTTGATTGTTGTACACGGAGAAAGATTATATACTACAGTGGCGGCTCGTGCTCCTTTCAATAGGGGAGGCCGAATGAAAGTGTGGATGTAAAATTCTACGAAAAAATTTTTGACACCTATGAGATTCTTGTTCATAGTACAAAGATGCTGATATCGTTATATTGTTTATGGCCATTGGACCAGATAACAACAATCATTCATAATGGTGTAGGTATAGGTTCAATTTTGATAGTGTTCGATAGGAGAAGAGTCGTACAGTGAACATTCATTACAATAAAATGTATCAAGATCCATATACCCCGGGTGGCTACGGAAGTATTGCCTACGGAATATCTCAGTTATTGTATGAAGTAGGTTTGTAAAATTCACAGCGTCGATATAATGACATAAGAGCTAGAATTTGAGCATATTGACATGTCGTAGTTAACTTCCGGTCTGACCGGAAATAACATCAACTTTCTTATTTCAAATGGAAACCCTATTTTTTTTCTTCTCGCTTCATTCCGCATTCAATTCCCTTGCTAATGATATATCACAAGTTGGTATCTAACCAGAAACTAGATCAGAGAAAAATCATTATTGGAATTCACCGAGTAGGCCGTGGAAGCAAAATGATAGCCAAAAATTGAAAAGTTGGCTATGGAAACCATACGTCACTTGATAACAGTTGCTACTACTGTGATATTTCATTTTCATTCGTCGGCATTATAAAAAGCCCCAAAAAAAAATATTGGAAAAATTTTGAAAAAAACAATACTCTGTGTAGGTCTATAACTTAAATAGAAACATACAACTTTTTCTTGCCTGTACTATTCAGCATGACCATTCCTTTCTAATGATATAATAGAAAGTCATTTTTTGGCTTTCATTTTGCTTCCACGGTCTACTCGGTGAATTTCAATAATAATTTTTTTCTGATCTAGTTTCTGGTTAAATACCAACTTGTGATATGTCATTAGAAGATGAATTGAATGCTGAATAAAGCGAGGAGAAAAAAATTAGGGTTTCAATTTGAAAAAGGAAAGTTGATGTTATTTCCGGTCAGACCGGAAGTTATCTTCGACATGTAAATATGCTCAAATTTTAGATCTAATGTCATCATATCGACGCTTCAGATTTCACAAACCTACTTCATACAATAACTGAGATATTCCGCAGGCAATACTTCCGTAGCCACCCGGTACTGCGATTTTGAACTTTATATTGCCGTCAGGTTTGGGCAAAACAGAAGCGCATCAGTACAAACACCATATAACTCATTAAAATATGTCACGAATGTTCCCTTGCAAATAGAGATTCTAGCGAATTTCATCGGTCAGAGGCTGCTCTCTGTTAGATTTTGCAAAGTCGCGAATTTGTATTTCGATGTGAACAATTTGAGCTGCTGCCATATTCTCAAATTCTTCTTGATATCAGGAAATAAAACCGTATATATATTATACAAGTATATTGAACTATTCAATGTATGGAACTTCTTGAGGAGGCTCAGCCTCGCCGTTGCATTTTCTGATGAGCAGCTACTGATATACTCACATAGAAAAGGACTGTTGCTATCCTGTTTCCGGTGCCCAAGCTTTTGAAAGCGTTCTTCTCATCTTTCTGAAAGAGATAAAGAATAGTACATTGTTTTATCAGGACAAAACATAGCACTCGGTTTGATAAGCAGAATATTCGTTCCCAACTAGCATTCATAGCTGCAATTACGCAATGATGACTATCGGGTTGACTATGATATCAGGTTATATTCACTAGTTGGGGGTACGTCATGAAAAACGTAGATACTTCTCGTATTCACGGCCAAAATGAGGAACAGATTACGAAGAATTATAACGATTTGCCGACGAAGCTAGAACTCACACAATTATGGAATGCTTGAGTTCCGTCGACGTCGAAATTATGTTTAGATGTAACAAAGATCCCTAATGACTTCATGTTTATTTTTCATTTCATAACAATATCATCTACTCTTTGTATCATCTAATCCATTGAGATCACATTCAATAAACAAGAGAAATATATCCATTCGATGAATTATGCAAATATAAACACCTCGAAAAATTGATAGTCCTACACTTTTTCAACCCCTCTACAATGCATGATTCATTTGTTATTGTTGTAGAAATAATTCTCAGGGCCAATTATCATATTCCAGAACATGTAGAAGTCATGGAAAAAAAGCCTTTTTTTTCATATCTTTTTCTCACAGTTGATTGATTGTTGCATTTGTGCAACATATTAGGTATGGTGAACATGATTGAAAAATCTGCAATGACTATAAACATTCAATAAAACATTCGAAAATAAAAATTTGTGATTGCTCATATATATAGCATTCAAGATATCCAAAGGTATGGAAAAATGAAATGAATAATCCATGTCCGGTTGATGGAAGACCAAAAGTCGAATTTCAGATTTCAAGACGCCAACTTGTATCGAAGAAAAATAAGAAGTTTCGTTCAATCTGATTATTTCCTCCAGATGACTTGAAAAATAATGGTCATAAGAAATTTAAGTTTTTTTAGTATTCGGAATTATGAAACGGCAATTTGTTAGGGATGAAATGATTCAACTCTGACATGATTCAAATGACCCTATTTCTCTTACGATTCACGATATTCCGATAATGACGCTTGAATGCATGTTGCATGATGTTGTTTATGTGCAACACTATTTTGAAAGTGACCTCAAAAATTGTCAGATGATTGTAACAGGAAGATAATATCATAACATAGGAACTGTATTTCCCTCCTATAAAACAATCTTTAGCAGCAGTTTATAAAAATGAATGATGCTATTTATAGGAATCACTTTCATTCATCAGCGTTGACAGATACAGTAATTGATGAACGAATACGTACGAATTGTCATCCATTTCATCATTATGAGTGCCACCTATCGATGACGACTTGGAGATTTCCTGAATCACGAGGGGCCAGGTAGCCGTGCGGACAGAGTGTCTATATTTTAATTCGCATTCGCTTGCCGGTCGTGAGTTCGATTCTCATCGACTGCAGACATTTTTCTGATGGCCCAAAAAAGTGTTTGGGATCACACGTTAAAAGGTGAGGCCTCCGTCATTCCTTGCTCGCACAAGACTTTCGAAGACTTCTGAGGGTTGCTCGTAAGGAGGCAACCGAATGACGGATGGAACAATTTTAGGATGTTATGTGTCATATTCTTCAATGAAGTCACTGAACCGATATGACTTCACTCGGTCGAAAACTGATAATAAATAGAAATGTTGCAGATATGCAACAGAATGTATTGTATGGTTGCAGTTCTCTAGGAGAATTCACGAATTTTTGCGTGGGAGGGTGAAGTACGTTGGAGATGTTGATGGTGAATATTCAGAGAGGCATGAACATTTACTATTCCGAAGAGTGCGAACTATTGATGTGTCGTAATATTTAATAACGCCATGAACCGATATTCCTTAATTCAGTAAAAATATGCGAATAACTAGATATGTTGCATATATGCAACAGGATGCATCTTAGGGTTGAGCATTCTCATCAAATAACATCCTTACTCAGGAAAAATTATATGAAGTAGCAATGCTGAGCTAGGCTTGAATGAAAATTGACCGCCTTTTGGGTAGACTGCTGAAAAAAAAAAAACGTCTTCTTACCCTTGCGAAATCGAAGTGAGGCTCATAATGCCCTCCTATTCCATAATTGACAACTTGTAGTTCTTCTGCGGTCGCCATATTCAATCCCGTCATATCTTCGACTCTCCTAGCGATATCGGCGACGTGTTTGTGTTCGTGCTCTTTCAACCAAGCTGATTTGCTGATTCTGTACTGTGCGATTTCCAGCTCACCGGTTTTCGAATTTTGTACCGTGGCTCTGAGTAACTGAGATAAAAAAAATGAAATCGTGATGAGAGGTTCAACACACTACAATGTGACAAATACAGGGTGAGTCATTACTATTGGGACATAGACTAATGGCGGATCGTTTGGACCAAGATATGGCGATAGGACCGAATATGTCTCAATGAAATATTGCTGTGGGGCAAGACACAGGGCATTTTAATCTAGAAAGTATTGACTATGAACTCGCACCCATCAATTTATTCACTTACAAGAAATGTAATGCAAGATCAACAATTATCTGACAGTCCAAAGCACACTCTTCCAATACCTACTCCTCGCAATACTCTGAACTGTTCAATTGCGTTTTTTTCAAGAATACCAATATCACGTAGTAATTATGTCAATGTCATATTTTTCAATCAACATCACTGAAAAGGAAGGAATGCTCGAAGTCATCTCCACATCTTTTTATGGTGTAACATAATCATAAGGGACATGTTTTGGTATCATAGAAGACCATCTTCAGCCTAATTGAGAGTTCAACAGTACAAAATGAAGGAAGGGAGGAAGGAAGAAGAATCACCTAATTTGTGCTTGACTCACTTGTATTCGAAAAAATGTTTGATGCTACTAGTTGTGGAATTGTTGTCAATGGCCATAGTCGAGGAATCAACAAATCGATAATAAAAAAAACAGGTTCTCAATAAATGGAGGTTTGATTCATTCGACAGTACCCTGCACATAGCATTTTTGAAAATGAAATTGCAATGAAAATGATGGTATGCGCTCTCGGCGCCCTTCATTTATTGAGAACCCGTTTTTTCATTAATAATTCGATTTCCCGACTATGGCCATTGACAACAATTCCACAACTATAGTAGCATCAAGGATCTTCTCGACTCCAAGTTGGTCAAGCACAAATAAGGTAATTCTTCCACATCAACCTTTATTTTGTATTGTATAGAACTTTCAATCAGGCTGAAGATTGTCTTTTATAAGACCAAACTATGTCCCTCATGATCGAAAAATGCCAGTCCACTTTGTTCAATATGGACTTCTACCAAAGATTTGTCACTGAAGGGTTGGTTAGAAGAAATTATTAGTCGATTTCATTATCAGGAATAATAATACATTGAATAATTTTTGCTGTATGAAATGATGCATCTACGCCGATATTGATGATGATAATATATACAGTGACATTATTAGCAGAAACCAGAACAAAATATTCAACTTTAACGCCCAGTATATTTTTCTACAGCAATATTTCATTGGGGAATATTTGGTTCTACTGCCATATTTTGGTTAAAATAATTCGCCCTCAACTCATCTCTCAATAGTTATGACACATTCGCGCTAGCGAAGAGGTGAATATTTTTCCTGAAAATTTCCGACATACGTCAACGATTTAATGTATTTACACGAATTTTGCAAGCAATATCAAAAATATACCCCATCAGATGAATACTACCCTCAACTTGTTTTTCCAAATGCCACCCTATACAGTGTGTCCCAAATTCGATCCTCACCATTGGGATCTCAGTAACTATGAGAGATAGAGAAACGGTTAAATTAGCAAAGTTGTAGCAAATTTAATGTTGAATCATAATCTATCGAGAAATCCGGGCTAGCTTTAGTAATTCTTGAGTTATTTGAGAAAAACTGAAATCTCGTATTTTTGTTTTTCTCGAATATCTCGTAACCTATTGATTTTATGAAAAAATGACTTCAACATTCTCATAGCACTTTTTAGTGCTCTTTTCAATGGTTTTGTCAGTTTTCCGTGAAAATGTCAAATTTCTGAGATATCACCTACAACTTCAATTTTTCTTATAGACGCCATATTGGATTTTCACAGATTTGAAATCAGCATCAAATTTCCTTTCTAGTGATGTATCACACTTACAGTTTTATTCTATTTGGGGTACTGATTTCCAATGTTTGTTTTTATGTCCAGTAGGCTATGCGCTAAGCTCTCTATAAACATTAACGATAATGTGTTCTGGCACAACTTTCATAGAGTAGGCTTGGAGCAAAGGTGAGCCAAGTGACATTTCTGTAAACGTCAAGAAAAAATACAAGTCAATTATTTCGGGGCAAACAATGCCGTTCACAAATCTCGAAAAATTTGATATGTACAATTGTTATATCAGAAATAATCGAAATAACAGAGAAACAGCTAGACAATACTTCCATTTATATCCAGAAAGACAACAACCGCATCCTTCTATTTTTCTAACATTACAAAGAAATTTGCAAGAGCATGGAAGTTTCATTGCACCTAGGCCAAGGTATGGTTTGCGCTTGGATGAACAAGATATTGCAAATATCGAAGGAATCATCAATCAAACTCCTACCATTTCAATTCGAGAGCTTAGTCGGAGAACTCTTGTGCCGAAAACAACAATCCACAGACATTTAGTGAATGATAAGTACCACCCTTTCAAACCAGTGATAGTACAAGGGTTAAGACCTGGTGATAATGAACGTCGTCTCGAGTTTTGTCACTGGTTCCATAACCAGTGTGAAAGAATCGAGAACTTTCCATTGAATATCTGCTGGACCGATGAAACGAGATTTCATAATAATGGAATTTACAATAAACATAATCATCATTACTGGGCACAAAATAATCCGCATGTCATCAGAGAATCAAAGTGGCAGAACAAATTTGGTTTCAATGTTTGGTGTGGGATATTTGGTACCTTACTAGAATTTTGGTCCATGAATAACTGTTTCTCATTGTGTATTTTTTTCAGGCAGTAGACTACTAGGTCCAATAATCTACGATTATAACTTGAATGGTCCACGTTATTTAGAGCTATTGAGAAATGAAATTTCGAATTTTATAGACGAGATACCACTTGCTGAATATGAGTCAATGTGGTTTCAGCAAGATGGTGCCCCACCGCACAATACGCGATTGGTTAGGGAATATCTCGAGAATCAATTTGGTGCTAAATTAATTACTACCCATGGACCTGTGAGATGGCCTCCAAGGTCGCCTGACTGTACGCCTCTCGATTTTTACCTGTGGGGCTACGCCAAAAATAAAATTTATGAAGATCCAATTCAAGATATTGATGATCTACGAGATAGGGTGATGGACACATTCCAGAACATCAACAGAGTTCATCTGAGAAAAGCAGCGAATCATGTTCGCTCGCGAATATTAAAATGTATCGAGAACAATGGGGGCCATTTCGAGCAGTTCAATTGATTTTTTTTCCAGTATTTGTATTATTCAACTGTTATTAAATTTTTTTTCTGCTATAATAGTACACATCCAATTCCATGCGATAAGTTATGCAAGAACATAGAACACAGAATTCATAGCCTACTTGACATAAAAACAAACATTGGAAATCAGTACCCCAAATAGAATAAAACTGTAAGTGTGATACATCACTAGAAAGGAAATTTGATGCTGATTTCAAATCTGTGAAAATCCAATATGGCGTCCATAAGAAAAATTGAAGTTGTAGGTGATATCTCAGAAATTTGACATTTTGACGGAAAACTGACAAAATCATTGAAAAGAGCACTAAAAAGTGCTATGAGAATGTTGAAGTCGTTTTTTCATAAAATCAATAGGTTCCGAGATATTCGAGAAAAACAAAAATACAAGATTTCAGTTTTTCTCAAATAACTCAAGAATGACTGAAGCTAGCCCGGATTTCTCGATAGATTATGATTCAACATTAAATTTGATACAACTTTGCTAATTTAACCGTTTCTCTATCTCTCATAGTTACTGAGATCCCAATGGTGAGGATCGAATTTGGGACACACTGTATATGTATGGTGAAAATAAGAATTCAGCGAACAGGTAAAATTTTAGTTTTTTTACGTCTGAGGTTTGCATAACTGGTACTGGTACTGGTGGGGGACGTTTCCACGTCAGCAACTAGTCCCCAATGGGACCTTTTTGCAAACCCCAAGTGTTTTCAATGGCTGATGTGGTTCGCTCAAGAGAGCTGGCTAACATCCCTTTCAGGCACCGCCCATCAGCTTTCTTTCCAGAGTTTTTCAGCTGTGTTTTGTAGGCTAGTAATGTACTCACTACCATATGCGCAGTGGCAGGCCTGCTAACCATCATCGTTAACCTCCGAGACCGAGGTCTACTTAAGCAGGTTAAGAGGTTTGCATAAAATCATTATGTGATTTTGAAATTCAATTCACTCTCAACGTAACGATATCTGCTCAAAATGTGTGTTGAACAATTGATGGCAATTGTTTGCCACAACTGCTATCTGCTAAATTGTATGCCAGGGTTTTTGTAGAGCCGCAAAAAAAAATTTGGTTTTCATGTCGTATCCTTACTAAAAATCAAAGTTATGATGAGAATACATTGAAAATGTATAAAAATTTGTAATAATTATATTTTATAAACTAGAATTTGATCAGTACGCTGGATTCCTGTTTCGACCAGCTTTCCAACGAGGGGTCACAAGCGATAGGATTGCATTTGAAAAAAACATGTTGGGGTTCATTCCAGCTACCCATGAATGGTAATATTCTTTATATTGCTCGAAAAATGTGAAGAGCGTTAATGTGTCTCGCGAATTCCTAGTAAAATCATTCATCTTTCCACTAGGGATTTTTTTCAAGTTCGAGTCTCCACACTGAACAGTGTACAGGATGCATGACCAACTGAGAATGCAAAGTTTTGTATCTGGGCATTATCCATTGTAAGAACTTGCGACAAAAAAATGTATTACTAGAAATGCCAAAGGGAAAACCTGGAAATTTTATCAAGTCACTGAAAGGACCGCTAGGATACATAACTTGAATCTTGAATCTGAAAAAGTGATATATCTATAAACTCCGCATTTCAACCTGGCAAGAAAGTACCTGATCTCTGAAGTAGAAGATAATCTGAACCTTTTTCGCTCGACAATTTCTGCTATATCTCCAGGAACTAAGTGGTGGGGGTATTCGAAAGTTTTCGTAAAATACACCCTGCATCTTTGAAACAGCTCAGCCGATTTCAATGAACTTGTGCTAGTTAGGAAGAGCTATCCATGAACTGAAGATTT